GAGCCTGAAGTTTCACTGAAGTATTGTGGTCTCTCTGTCCCTGTGATTATTGCAGTTCTCAGTTGATCAGCAAGAAGTTGCAACAGATCTTAATAAACCATTTTCTATAACATGTTCCTCTCCTTTCTCCAGGGGCAGCTCTTCAGAGGTTCCAGCCTACTTTTTCGTAGAGCATCCACACCAGCAACTTTTTTTGTTGACTAATGTGATAGACAGAAGCAAACTTAGATCCTTGTAGAAGAGACTCTAAAACTGCTTGTTTTTCCCATTCTTTTTCATTTGTAAAATGAAAGGCTTTCAGCAGTAAGAACAGCTCATTTCAGAAAGCTTGACAACAAAATGTTCAGATATTTCTGGCTAGATCTTGCCTGCCAGATGAAGGGAACAGTGCTGGTCAGGCCTTAGATCAAAGGGGCAGCCTAAATAATGATGACTTTTCAGGTTTTCAGGCATAGTCATGGTTTTGCAGGATATAAGAAGCTGATTTACCTTTTTCCCTAAATAAGATCTAAGATGGAATGCAGATTTCCCCGTTTAGTACCATTAGAGAAAACAGCTTAAACTTTATCTCTTTATCAGTTTTGGTTTTTTGCCATGTAATTTAGTCTACATATTAAATCCAACCGATGTTGGAATACCTTTCATTCCTAACATTTAGCAAAACCACAAACACCCTTAATACTGAATTTTTTAATCATGACATGTATAAACCTGATTGTTTAGATTTTGTAATATCTCTAGGCAGCTTATTGAACATCATCTATTTTTAAGTTAAATATTTGACAGACACTTCTTAAACCCTAGCGTAGAATGGATTATTTACATGGATCTATCCAGAATATTTTTTGTTTTGTATTTATTACAAATTTAAGCTCGATTCCGGTAGTTGCCGACTTATGACCACAATAGAGACCAGAATTTCTGTTGCTAAGCAAGGAAGTTATTAATTGAGTCGTGTCCATGATCTTGGTTGTTAAGTGAATCAGTGCAATTGTTAAGTGAATCAGTGCAATTGTTAAGTGAATCATGCAGTTGTTAAACAAATCCAGCTTTCCCTATTGACTTTTCTTGTTGGAAGCCAGCTGGGATGGTTGCACATGGCAATCACATGACACCCAAAACTGGTTGCCAAGTCTCTGAAATTTGATCACCTGACCATGGGATGCTGTGACGGTTATAAGTAGGAGGGCCAGTCATAACTCACCTTTTTCAGTGCTGCTGTAACTTTGAACAGTCACTAAACAAATGTTTGTAGATCAAGAAATACTGTATGTTGTGATTTAGGAAGAATTCTATAATAATGATAATTGGGCTACAGATCCCTTAGTACAAGAAAAGGTCATGTATGTATGATAATTGAGTTGTGGTAGTTCTCATGTCATACAGAGACATTCCAGATGTCAGACAGAACACTTTTTTGATATTAAGATTCAATACAGCTGCAGAGATAATACATCTGACAATAACAATTATCAAGTCAGGCTTTTGGGGGTGATTTCTGACCAAAGTAAAGTAGTAAGAGCCAAGAAAATGATTTTGCTAAATACCATGAGCAGTATTTTTTCTGGTCAGCGATGTTATATAAATATGAAATAATATTGCACTACATTACTGATTTTATTTTTTGATAAAAACTTGGTTGTGCTGGGATGCCTACTGCAGGTCACTTATTCCAGCTAAGCAGCATTTGCCATGTGAACACTTAACTCATTAGATCATAGTTAGCTTTTCTAGTATTTACTTCAGATTGTAAGTTTACTGATTCAAAATTCACTAAATACAGATGGAATGGCTTTTGGACAAACCGCTACAGGATTGCACTATTAACATAGTTTTTACTGCTGAGCTTTTCCTAACATTTAAACAACTTGGCCTTACTTGCAATTCCTACAATCAAATTACTCATTATATTACTTTTTGCTACAAAGAGATCTGTCAATTAATGTGAGTCCCACTTTAAGCAGCTTTGCAAATAGCATAGTAAATTTATATTTCTGGTGAAGGAGTATCTTTTTTACCAATTAAATATTCTTGCCTGCTGACAAATTGTCATATTCAGATTACTTACTCATGTGAATAGTCTTAAATAGAGCCAAAGGAAGACTGAGTACTGTAAATGAAAGTGAGAATTCATGTGGCTTTAGTTCGAAATTTTATACAGTTAAATCATGCATATCACAAGGTAAGAAAAAGCTATTTTCAAATTACAATCATGCAGAACAAACCACAAAGGGAAAAAGGGAAATATGCTGCTTTGTCTTTTTGGTGCTACTGTTTAAAAAACCTGAATTGATGTTGGTCATCGGGAAGCTTAACTAAAGAATAAAAATGTAACATTGGGATTCTGAAGTACATTAATTCATTGTACAATATTAATACTGAAAATGTTGCTCAGCAAGCTGTGTTCCAGCTTTATCTATACACAGAAGAAAGTCTTGTTTCCATCTAGGTTTGCTGTAAATAGAGCCAGTGACTCCATACCATTTAACTTTGGTGGTAGGTTTTATGTTTTCTGCATGTGTGTATTACTCAGTAATTCCCAAATGGATCTGAGCTGGCTTCAGGAAAGCATTGAAGTGCTTTCTGGGTCAGGAGCCAAGTGCATTAATTTTGTAACTTTCATACAGTGAAGTATGGTATGTCTATTTTGTCATTGTTTTTCTTGGTATTTTCTTTTAACCCAGAAAGGAAAATATTCACAATCTCTTGCTTCAGAAAAGTTGTAGGAATTCTTTAAAGGGATGAAATTTGTCTTCCAAATGCAGTGGCCCAGAAATTTTATTTTATCATCACAATCTTTTGAGCCAGTATATTTGTCCTGATGATTTGAGGATTACATCTGAAAAATATATTGTGTAAATATTCGGCGCAATTTATTGGGGAACAGTTTTTATGGAATCTAGAATCTATGGTGCTTCCATAGCTTCTGATCTTTGCCAAAATTTTAAAGTTGTTTATGTCAAAGTAAATGAACAGCTACAGCAAATTAATTCAAAGCTTACTTGATATCTGTTTGAAAATAAAATGTGAAAATAACCTCAACTGTATTAATATTGCTTGTTAATGTAAATAAGTAAATGAATTCAAATCTTATTTGACATTTTAAAAATAAAATGTGAAAATGACTTCAATTGTGTTAATATTGCCTATAGGCTTGTAGTTTTTATCTTTAAATACAGCTAGATAGTCAAGAAAAAAAATTGCACATTTGAATCTAGTTCCTTCTGGTATCAAGTTGAGAATATAAAATCCAGGTCTAAAAAGCAAGCAAAATGCTTTCTATTCTATCCAAACCATTTTAAATGGATATTCGTTCCTTGCCCTGAATTAGATATTATAGCTGATGGTATTGTTTTCAGATAAAGATAAGTGAATACAGAATACAGGCCAAGAAAGAAGTGAAATTTTGAAGGTATTTTTTTCTGAGTAATAGGGTGGCCTTTTTTCTTAAATTCTTTATCAAGTAACTTCTAGAATGTAGATTATTTTAAAGAGAATGATAGTATTTGGTATCTTGGTTCTGTTGCAATATTCTTTTAAAATAAAGATTGAATTAGGTCCTAGTTCTTATTTTATTTATTTATTCATTCTTATCCATGCTATTTTTGGACAAAATTTTATGTCATTTTATTTAATCTTTAAAATCTTTTAGTGTGCTTTTAGTTTTGTCAAAGTTGTTAATCATAAAATGTGCAAATTGAGCTCAGCCATGATAAGTCAAGGCTAACTACATGAACTACTTATCTTTTAAAGATACCAGTTTATGACATACTTACATAGATTAAATGCTTTATAATTAGGAACACAATTCTATTTACATTCACTCTGAATTAAATTCTATTGACTATAATATGAGTAGCTCCTATGAAAGCACATACTGTTATAAGCCAAGTATGAGCTGATAAAACCACAGTGAAGGTCATACCTGTGTCATGTAATGACTCATTAACATTAGACAAATTATTGTCTCTTAGCCTCAATCAATATCCACTTTTTGAGTCAGAGAAGAAAAGTGACATACTTAATGAACAAGTAGAAATGATTAAATGGGGATTACTAATGCTTTATATATGGAAAGCTTTGAACAGTACTATTCCAAAACAGTAATTTTTAAATAAATCTGATGGTGGTTTTACCCTTCTTTAACATGATGATGATTATCTAAGCAATAAAAGCCATATTAATTTTTAAATTAGACTATACAAGTGGTATTTTTTCTTTCCTGTGCAGTTTGAGATTTCTTAGACTTCTGTCTTTTGCCACCTTCTGTCCTAATTTATCCCTTTAAACTAAAGGCCAGTACTAAGTTTTGTTCAGTCATTGCGTTTTGAAAATAGTCTTATTATCATTACATGACAAGATATTCGCCATATATTGGGATAACTTCAAACTAATGACAGGCTATGATTAGATACAAGGCAGTTTCATATAGCTAGTCTGAATGTTCTAATTCTCCCAGTCTGTTTTCAGAAGCATTTGATATATTTTACAAATCTGCTTCAGAGATGATGCATTTGCTTTTTTTTTTGTCAGATCCTATTCTTATTTGGTTGGGAGAAGAGGGATATATCAATTCCTGCATTTTTGTGCTCAGTCAGCTGGCAAATTGCTGATTGATTTGGTTGTACAACTGAGTAGTGTATTAATAAGACAACAGAGGGCAGACGGTATTAAAGATTTTTTTTAAAATTCAGCAAAGGTACAGAGTTATTTACTCAAATTCAGAAAATGAGTTGATAGCAGATCTTTTTCAGATTCATTCATTCTAAAGCCAACAAAAGCTTATACGGTATTGTTTATTATAAAATTTAGCTGATCAGTTTGTACTGCAGGCAGCTTGCAAGCACATATAGCACAGGATTTAAAATGCAATTTAAAATAATACAGAATATTGTAACTATTTTAATTTTTAAAACATACAATTTTAGATTGAGAATCAAAAGTTAAAACAATTTTAAATTGAGAATCAAAAGTTAAAATCTATTTGATAAATAGATATGAATTACTCTGGCTCTGTAGGGGGTAAATATTGAATTTACACAGTTACTAAGCTACTGTACTATGGGTTGATTGTTAGCTAGGATTCCATAATATGGTGAGCTAAATAGCAATCACATGATGGCTTAGTATTATATGTGAATCCAACAAAGATGGCATCAAAAGACCTGTTCTGGGAAGGTTATATCATAACTGGAATGCCACCGCTTAGAGATTATTTCCTCTGGTCATCCATCTCTCATTTCTTGAGGGCACTCTAAGAAGAATTTCTGAATATCTCAGAATTGTGTAGCAGGAAGAATCCTTTCCGGTAACTTGAATCTTAAAACTCCACTGCACTCTACCAAAAACTTGGCAAACAACTTGGATGGAGTGGTTCTTTCTAAAAACCCAGCTGTGCTTGTGGTAAGCCCAGCACAGACTTGGCTGGGTCGAGGAGCCACCAGTAGTAGAACGATACCTCAGATCTACTAAAACAGGACACATACAGCTGAGACCTCACTTCCTTCTTCTGATCATTACCTATTTTTAGCATAATACAGCTGTTTTGAATTTTGAGAACTATTTCCTTGAGCAAAGTCACTAAGTACCTCCCGTTTTGTAATTCTTCAGCCTTTCTCAGGGACAAACTGGCAATTGGTTCATTTATTTAATATTCATGGTGTATAATTGTGTCGTTCTCTTATATTTTTCATCTATCTTGAAGGAAGGCATATTATGCCCATCTCCCTTTTTGTTTGTTTCCTGTGTGTTTTATATCTAGTTCCTTTTGGAGATAATGGTATCATCTTGAACAGATTTTCCATTTCATTTCCCCACCCCCAGCATTATGAAGAGACCTGCTGTTTTCCAAAAAATTGTAACTGAGAAGTGTTAATCTTCCAATTTTTCAATGCATTTTTGTTATTTTTCAAGCAGGGTTCTTAACAAAAAACATGGTTCAAATAAAAGTTTAAAGCAACTATGGCTTTAATTCTCAAAGATGAAGTTGGAAAATGATGTATGATGGAAGAAAAGAGTTTAGTTGCTCATCTTCTCCCCCACTCAAAATTGACCAGCACAGTCATTAAATTATTCAAACACTTGAGTATCTATGTCAGAGCATACCTAGAAAGGTTTATAGTTTTGAAGCTTGGCTCAAGCAAAAGGTGAGATAAAAAGTTTGAAATTTGCTCATATTACAAGATTTCATTTCCAAGTTTTGAATCAGAATTTAAAAGTTAAGTTTTCAATGTAGGTGTTTTCATATCAGTGGGTCCTGGCATACTTTCATTATATTGTGGCTTGTTTGTTCTTTTAAAAAAATAAGATATTATTTCTAAAAACTGTTTAGCTGCTACCATTGCTCCTCATTGTTAGAAAAAGATACAAAATTTTGTTGCAAAATAAAGGAGTGCATTGTAGAAAGTAAAAGCCATCTTGGCAGACTTGCAAGATAAGCCCACCTCTATAGATTTGCAATTTAAAATTGAATCAACTCTTGATTCTGTGAGTCAGGATTCAGCTATATGTACTCACCTGTAAAATCATGCTGAGTCCTTTAAGATTAAATCTCTCACAATTTTAAGTATTTGTCATGCCTTTGAAGCTTCAGCAGTTCAATGATATCCTGGATGTTTTTAAACTTTAGACTTTCTTTGTAACAACATTACTATACAAATGCACCATTCATAGACATTCATACACACAGCCAATCTGTAGCAAAAAATAATTTCACAGAAGCCAGCTGATGTCGGGCAATTCAAAATATACATAATTCCAATAACAACAAGAACATACCCACACAAAAAGAAGGAATATTGGCCCACTAAAGCTGGATAGCCACAGAACATTGTCAACTGGATCAGGAATGGAGAAATCAAGAAACCTTGAGGGTAAAAAACAAAATGGAGTATCTGGGAAAGCACATGATTGGTTGAACACCTAAACAGAAACTTTAGTCCAGGCTTCACTTACTAAACACTAAATGTCAGTGTTTAGTCACTGACTAAATGTTAGTGGTGGGTCAATATCAAAATTGTGAAATCAAACATTGATACTGATCTAGGGTAGTTGGCAAGCATTTAAGTAATCACAATATTTGGCCCGTGAGTCTAGGAGCAAATATGTTTCAGATCTATCTTGATTGTCTAAAGTTTGATTCTATAAAGGGGATAATGACTTCCCCGGCATCAGGCTCAGGTAGCTTTCCTGTATAGGATTAGAGTGGCCAACTGTGCAATGAAGGTTCTTTCCAGTCAGGACAAGAGTGTGTAGGATATGACTAAAGATGATGCAGTGTTGCTTGCTAAACAGAGGAGCCATTATTGATGCCGTGGAGCACGCCCTTGGCCTAGAGTGATAGGAATGTTTGCTTTCCTCTGCTCCTGTTGTACAGTGCCAGAGCAGACAGCACGTAGACAAGAAGACAACAGATCCCAATAGGAGGGGGAGCAGGGCAATAAGCTTCCCACAAAGGGCATGACTAGATTTTGGCATACAAACAAATCAGCAGTGAATAGCTTGCTATCCATTAATCCCTAGTCTCCTTTCTTGGTGTTTCATTTGGAGATGACATTAGGAAGCCCATAATACAGATCAATCCTTGAATGCTGAATTCAGAGTGAAAGTGGCAAGCATTGAAGTCATGTCTCAGTCAGGATCGGGACAAATTCTATGTAAGTTGCAGAGAGATTTTTTTTAAAGAAATTAAGATAAAAATTATAAGGATAAGAAGCAAAAAAAGAATACTTGTGTACAAAATTCCTTTTTTTCTCTAGAGTAGAATGGTTCATGCATTTCCAGTCAGGAAAGAAATTTATTGTAAAAGTAATTATTTCTTATTATGATAAGTGCACTTCTGGAAATATGTGAACCACATCCAAAATATGCCAGACATCCCATTCCAAAGGAAAAAGGCATGTTCTGGAGCCAACCATTCCTTATCGCACAACTTTTTTTAATGAAAATAAAAAGCTATCAACTAGAAATTACCTGGTCTAAATAAAAATGTAGTCATTAAGATGTTACATAATCACTATAGAGATCCAAGTTGAAGTTTCTATATGATCATGGATCTTTTGGACCATTAATATAGTCCATATTACAAGGTTATATGAGGAAAAAATGTGGCGGGATCCCAATATAAATGCAAATTTGTAATGGAATAAAATAACTCTGAGGGGCTGAGAGATTGACTGGCTCAAAGCCACCCAGCTGTTGCTCATGCCTAAAGTGGGACTAAAAGTCATAGTCTCTTGTTTCTCAGTCAGGAACTTTAACCATTAACACTAAATTATCTCTTAATATCACAGTGGCAGAATGGAACATTATGCTAATTTACTTGCAAGTTTTAAAATTGTTCCATATATTGGGCCTAATCACAAACCTACCTACTGTTTTTTATATTAATAGGCAGATACATGGATCCTTTTAAGCAAGAAACAGTGTCTAAAACCTATAGATAGCAGCATAAATGAGAACATTTTTCTGCCTCCATTATTATTTAGATCAGAAAAGAACCCACGGGTGTGAAACTTGCAGCATCATATTACTGTCATGTGATGTGGTGCGACATTTATCCCATTTGTAGAGCTGGGGTGGGCATCCAGCCCGTGGTCCGCCAGTTTGACACCCCTGCTCTAGTCTATTAGAAGCTGAATTATCACTTATTGGCTAAGTTGTATGAAGGTGATGGAAACAGAAGGTTCACATTCTTAGGGAAGTGTAGTTGAGTGTTTGAAATTATCTATATTCATTCAAAATAGTAAAACTATTTCATTTAATGCCACGAATAATTTCAGTTTTCTCATATATACCAGATTATTCTGCTAGACAAAAAAGGAGAAAAATGAAATATGAAGAAGGTGAAGTGGAGAAAGATGTCCAAATATTCTTTCTCTCAGCCATGAAAATCTTAAAAAATTATCGGTGTATTTCTTACTGTTATTCCTTAAAAAAAACTTTTTCTTTATATAGAGGAAATTTATCTTGCCTTTTCTGACTATAGTTATTATAAGCAATACTGAGCATTACATTAGTATTGTTAAATGATCAAACTATATATGATAGGCTCAGTTTGAGGTACAAAGTACAAGATGTGGACAAGAGTACAAGATAACATCTAAATCTGGGAATCATAAATTCTGATAATTCGTCATGATCAGGTGTGAAAATTTGTTTTCTTACAAAGTCAAAGTAAAACAACTTCATGTCAGATTCCAATCCAAGCAACTAACAAAGGGAAACGAGGCTTCCTACCCATAATAGAGGATTTAGGATTAGTTTATCCATAGGTGACACAGGATATAGAGGTAGAAAATGTGAACATTGAGTCTACTATATGGGATTTGTTTTTGATAACCTCACAATCATTGTTTTTCATAATGACTTATTTGATCTACTGAAATAAAAGATATTTAACAGACATTCTGGATCCTTGAGTGCCTGGTAATTGTTTCTAGTCCAGGCCATCAAGAGAACTTTGAGTTTGTGTAAGCTTGTTGGATAGTGTGGGGCATTTGCAGGTTTGGAGCCATTTGCTAAGCACGGAAACTTGGAAAAATGTCTTACAGGAACAGCTCAAAGATGTGATAAGACATGCACTTCCAGATAAAATGTCTGGGAAGCATCACCATATGGGTGACTGGTTTTTGCTAGGCATACATCCTAGACCCTTCCTTGGAGTAGTAGCAGTGGGAAGAAAGTTACTCAAACAGGCTACCGAGTCCCTTAATGCAGGGGTCCTCAACCCCTGGTCCATGGCACAATATGGGGCCATGGCCTGTTTGAAACCAGGCTGTGCAAGCAGGCGAGCTCATGAGCATGCAAAGCTCCATTTGTGCAAGTAGCGGGCGCGCGGACAAAACCATCCCCTCTCACCACCACCACCACTGCTGCCTTAAAGGGTATCTTTTCAGTATGCAAAGAAAAGAGGGAGCAGTTGTTCAGCTTTGCAATCAAAAGCGGTTCTTTCATTTGATCCTCATCCCCACCTTTTTCATCCTTCTCTTTGGGCATTCTCCTAGTCAAAGGGTGGACTTCCTATTCCTTCTTGTAAAAGATGCCCTATCACCACCCACTATGCTTAGTTTGAACAGGAAACTCCAGGGCAAGGGAACTCTTTTGTCAGGCCAACACCACAAAGTTCTAGAGCAGTTCTAGAATGAGAAAAAAAACAACTTTCCAGATCCTAGGTAATAACTGATTCACACAAACTACCTAGGTCAGGGGTATCAACTTCAGAAATGTCATGTGACAGCAAAGTGACACGGCGAGTTTGACATCTGTGGCCTAGATAACAATATTAATACAGTAATAGTACATTAAAATAAGACAGAGCATAGGAGTGAGATTTCACAAGGTTTAAGCATAATACAAAAATAATTTTACAGAAAAAAACTTCTCTGGTGAAAATCAAAAACTATGACGTTACCAACTAGTAGCTCCAATCTGGCTTTATTTTAATTTTATTACAGTATTACTAATATCCTTCCAAGTAAGGAATTGGTTTACTGTGTTAAAATGAGTCCCAGTTTTACATGTATTACATTCTATGATTTGTTTTCAATCCCAGATTACATGTTTTAAGAGTTGTTTGCCATCCAGAGTTAAGTGATTGGAGCAGCCTATAAGCATACTAACTAACAAAATAAATCGTACCTCTTTTGTTATTCAATCATTTCAAATGTATTTGCTTTTATGGCTCGGGTGGTTGGATTGCTTTTATAATTTTTTTCTCTGATCTGATTTTTCTAATCACCATTTGATTATTTTTTTTCCTGAATCCTTTAGAATTTTTCATGCTGTGAAATTGATGGACTTTTTTTTAACCACGGGATGCCTTCGGATGATATAAAATATCTTAGGCATTGTAAAAAAAAATAAAACGGTGACTGCCAAAGGCAGCTGCTTTCACTAGAGAAGCATAAGCCCCATTCTGCCCCAGAATCAGTGATGAATAGGTATGAATGAGACAACAAAAACCCACAAATAATAGCATTTGTTTCTTAACAAATGAAGACTGGAGCAAATGATTTTCATTCGGTTCAGGTTTGCATTCATTACAAAAACAATTTGCATCCCTATCAGCAATTGCTTCTTGTTTTATTATGCAAAAATAATGGAGAACAAAATAAAATGCCATTCTGCAGCAAAAACAAATAACCCCAAAACTTCTTTTTTTTTTTTGCCTCAGGTTTTCTAATTACCAGCATCTTCTCTAATCTTAGAAATTTCACAGGAGTTGTGAAATTGATTTAAATCAAATTGTAAAAAGATTCTGGTCTATTTAATTTTACTTCTAAAGGAAATTTTTTATAATTGCTTTTCTTTATAATACTCTGAAGTAATAAAATGTATCAATACAATATTCACATTAGAGGAAGAAATATTTTAAATATTTCCAGATTATCTTCAAATACTTCAGGTTAGCTACAAAGCTGTTTGTCATGGCAGAGCCCACGTTGCTTTGAACCATTTCCATTACTTACTACAAAGGCCAAGTCATTCTTTTTTTAAAAAAATATCCCAGAACAGATCATAAAGAAGTGGATATGTTTAGTGTGCATTCTTTCTGCCTCCCCAAGATTGATGTGGGGAATACACAGTACTTATTTGTGATTGTTGGGATCTCTTCCTCTTAACAATACCAACTTTACTGTACTCTTCTTGCCAGCTGATGTTTATTAAGTCATGATCCATTTCTATATCTAGCCAAAAACCTGATCCCAGATTTAAAAAGGGGAACGTTGCAAGAAAAGACTGGTGGCCTTGTTGCTGGCATCACAGTTTATTCCCGGTGTCACAGCACCAACCATGTAGTATGATTGCTTGTATTTTCATGACAATGAAATCTACCTTAAGGAATCATAACAGGAGAACTCAAATCAAAAAGTTGTTTGCCCTCATGGAAACAAGGAAGGAGTAGGAATAAGGAAGCTGACCATTTCTTTTTCAAATAGAGACATGAATACTGTATTCATTTACATGTTGCTTTTTGTCCAGTATATTCAATATGGCTTAGAGTTTAAAATGATCCTAGTGCAGAAATATCCCTGGGGTTATCCTGTTTTTGAACATGGATTCTTTTAGCCCAGAATTGGTAGGTTTGCCTCTAGAGGGCTCTGCTTGGTTCCAAAGGCTGCTGAGCTATAACAGCGGCCATTAGTCACCAAGGGACATCACTCAGTCCAGTTAATTTGGTCAGGGAAACGTGCTCGTAAAGCTTTGCTACATTTCTTTCAAGCTGAAGAAATCAATTCTCAGCAGTTTGGATAGGATACAAGAGGCCCAGATATAAAGGTTGCGGGTTGGGAGGGAGAGAAAGTGAGAAATTGCCAATTGTTTTGTTACAGGATTAAAAGCATTTTATTAAAGATCCTATTTTCCTTGTTGATAGGAGGATACTGGGACTGTCTCGTAGGAAGAAATATATGGCTATAATGTTAGGTAAAATGGCTTCTGTTCTTACCCCCAATGGGTAAGAATCATATGTGTAACTGGAAAGACTTTGTCTGCAACCATGATGCCCAAGAATATTTCAAAATTTCTGCATATACTAGGCTTGGATATTCACAACTATGGAGGGAGAAACAGTGGGGTGGTTAATGCTACTTCCCTGGCTCATTTTGGTTCTTTCATTTCCTTTACCCCCTTAATTCTAAATTGCAGGAGCAACATCTAGAGAGCCACTTATGTTGCACCAGATGTAAGGAAAAGCTCCCCCGTCCCCTTGCTTTCCCTTGATTAAAACATTAGAATTCTTTAATCTCTCTGAATTGAGTTCCTTCCTTAAAAGCTGCCTGTTCTCTTTGATACACCAAAGCAGTTCTTGTCACGCTGCCAAAGGAGGCCGGGAGGAGTGTCACACAGCTCAAACTTTTACAAGCTGAGTGAGCCGGAAAACAAGCAAAGGCACACAGACATAGACAGAGAGAAAAAAAGAGAAAGGGAGACAGAGAGCGAGAAAGAGAAATCTTATTTTTAATTTTTTGTTTTTGTGACATTTGGCTTTGAATGTATTTTTTTTTTCTTCTTAATTTTTTTTTGCCTAACTTGACAAACCTTTGTGAAACTTGGAAGAGAGGAGAAAATGACGTCACTGCAATCTGGGGGTGCCTTTTGCGCTGCCTGTCAGATCCAAAAGAAAAGAACACAGCAATAAAACAACGGCTGTCTCTGTCTCCTTCGTTAAACATGGCACTAATTGGATGTTAATTTCTCTTTGCTCTTCTCGCTGTTTGATTGTGAGAACTTGGTTCTTCCCCACCCACCCCCAGCAAGACTCTTGCCAATAGCAGGGAGTCCATACTGTATGTTCCCTCCCAACCGTGGGCTCAAAACAATTCAGAAGCCGGGCAGTATTAAAAATGCAGAAAGGGGAGGAGAGGGAGGGATTGGATTTGGGAGTTTCACGAAGCTCAACATTTTCCATTCATTGTGCTGTACAGAGTTCGGAGTATTCCCCCCGCCCTTGTGTTCTGTCCAGTCTCCTTGGCAGCATGGAAAAAAAAAAAAAGAATTAACCCAACCACTACCCAACCCATGTGTGAAACAGCATGTAGGAGAACTCGTGCAGACAAGAAGCTGTTGCTGCCTTTATCACCCGGGTCACTCTTAAGGGGTGTTTGTGCTTCTTAGCTTGAATTCGAGAGGGTCCTGAGTGCATCTGAATTGATTCCTAATGTACATGCATGCACACCCATGCATACAGCGGTGCAGGGGGGAAAGGTAAGTTAAGTACAGGGTTGAGGAAGAGCAGGGTGAAATTTACCAAGGGAGATGGTGGGTGGGTGGAGAAGAAGAAGAAGGGGAGGGGAAGAAGCAGGAGGGGGTGGAGGGTAGAAATGTGGGAGTAAAGTCCTACCTGGGATCGGTGCCAACTTCCTGCACAGGGCTGCAGACCCGCAGCTTTGAGGCGACTTTTCTCTCTTGACATGATTCCAAGAGGCAAGGAAGGCAACAGGAACAGGTACAACAGATGCAGAGCAGCCTTGTTTGCCAGGGTGTTGGTGGGTAAACCCTCTTCTCCTTCCCCCCCCCCTTCATTCCCTCTCGAATCCTTGTTGCAGACAGCTGTATTTTTAAATGATCCTTCCAAATAGGGTCGACAAAGAAGGCTTTTTCCTTTAATTTTTTTAAAAATGATTTTATTGTACAGCTTTGGAGGGGCGGAGGGGCTTTTTATTCTCTTGCAAACATCTCCTGTCCATTAAGATTAACATGCAGGAGATGTGACTGTCACTTTGCTTATTGACAGTTGCCTGTACAGGGATGGGAAATGGCTTTGTTCCGTGCTGCCTGGGAAGCAGTGCCAACTCTGACTTGGCAGCTAAGCCAGAATGGGCAGGGAGAATGTGGGGAGAGGGAGAGCGAGACACACACACAGAGAGAGAGAGAGAGAGAGAAAGAACGACTGCTGAGGCTTCCAAAGTGGAAATGGCTGTAGGCCCATTTCTGAACGAGCAGCTATTCAGTGCCCCTTTCGCTTGCTCGCTTGCTCGCTTTCTTTTTTTTAATTTCTTCTCTTTCTCTCTCTCTAAGGCTGGCACAGAAAAAAAATGGAAAATGGGAGCTGGAGGGAGGGTGTCCTCTTCTGGCATATCTCGGTAGTTTGTTTGTTTGCTTGCTTTGATTTGTTTTTAAACCATCCTCATCTCCATTTATGCCTCTTAACTCCATTTTTGCCACCGACAAAAGAAACATTTCGCAAAATGAAACTGCTTCTTGTATAACATTAGAGGGTTGTTTTGTGTTTGTTTTCTTTTTGTTTCATTTTGTCTTTCATCTTCTTTGGCTGTGTTTTAAAGGAGCTTGCCGCCTCCAACATCTCAAGTTAGGAAAGTAGAAGTCAACATTTATTTTATGTACATATCTTAGGCTGCTAACACAGAGAGAAGAGAGAATGAGCTTCTTGTTTAAACTGGCATGGGTTGAAAGAATAGGTATTGGATGGAAATTATGCTTTGGAAATGGTTCTCAATAGAGACTGAGAAACTTTAGAGGTATTTGCTTGGGAGGGGGTGGGTTCCATGTTTTTTTTTTTTCCAGTTTGCTAATAAAGGGAGACTATTTGAAGGGTATATTGAAGTGGAGTTCCAAGTGGAGGAATTTGTGCCAGCTTCTCTTTATGCCAGCCTCTTGTCAGCCTTGGCATCTCATTCGGATGAAGCCTGGCATGCAGGCACCGCCCATTTCTTGGCGCTGAACTGCTCTGAGAAGGAAAAGGGAACGCATGGGGGGGGAACTGTTTCACTGAAACTGGCCTTTCTTGAAAAAAGAAACCATTCCTTATGATTGTCCAGATCATCGAAGTTAAAGCCAGCGGCTACTGAGCAGAAAAATCTTTCTCCTTCCCGGCACATCTTTTTCTGGTACGAAATCAAATGTAGCTCTTTTGAAAATATTTTAAAATGTCATTTCATTTGTCCAAGTGCTTGGCACTTGCTACTCCTACATCCTTTCTTTCCTCCTCCATTCTTCTCGCTTTTTATGTTAAAATATTCCATTTGTTTAAACCAACCCAACTTGGTGGGCTTTATTATTTATTATTTCTCCTGGCTGTTAATTAGGATTTTATTTTTATTTTTCAAAATACTTTGATTCTGGGTAATTGGAAGCTAAGGTTTTTTTTTTTTTTTTTGCCACCCTACGCAAGGGAAAGAAAATTGTTGAATCATATCAGACTTGCAATTCAACATGGCAGCCCCTGCTAAGATTGTCTAGTTTTGCAAGGCTGAAAGACATTGCAAGAAATGCCCCTTTCTGGGGACATAAATTTTGATAGAGCTAACAAAGGGATAGAGAAATAAGTAGCTCTTTGGAGGAATGATTGGGGGAAATTTATATGCTGTCTTCAAGAAGAGGGAGAATTCGGCCATGTTATCCTCATCTCAGTATTTTGTAAGTGTTAACTATTTGTAATCTGTTCTGTACCTATCATTTAAATGATGATTTGTTACTTGTTCAAATTTTCTTTTTGTTTCGCTGACACAATTTTGGGGTTCATCAAGATCATTTGGTGTATTAGGTTGTTTTGTGATATTCTTCAAGGTTTGTTATGTGAAATCATTATTTGTTTTTTATTGGGGGAAATCTATAGACAATGTTTTTCAGAAATAAGAAAAGTGGGTGAAATTTTCAAAATACCCACTTTGCTTAATTTTTCCTTTCACAATCAAAAACCTTTCTCCGGTTGCTACTGATATAAACTTTGATGGACTACACTACAGCAAACTATAAGCCATTTGCCATGCAAGAATGACATGGAATGGAATTTAGTGTCTTTGATTTGTGTTGATAAATCTGGCCTCTTTATGTCAAGCTTAATTTAGGCCTCTGTTGTCCAAAACAACAGACTTTGTTTCTCTGAAAATAAAAAATTCCATCAATAAGCAACTGCATTTTTGTAAACATTGTACTGTTAACAAAACTTTTTTTCTGCTAATAACAATTTTTCAGGGCAACACACAGAAAGATATCTTAGCTCTGCTTACGAAAAGCACGTGTTGGGTGTAGAGCTTCAACAACTGCTTTTGAAAACTGTGAAACATGGAATATTTCATTAATTCTTTCTAGATTCCCTGTTTCCCATTGTTATAGTAATATTGAGGATAGATTTTGATTCTAGTTTCTCTCATTCTTAGGAGGGCTTGCTTTAGTTGCGGGGAAAAAATCTTCTTTGCAAATGCAGAACCTCTCTTTTTTGTTTGCAATTTTGCCAATAATCTATTCGCTAGAAAACCCATTGTCTCCTAGATAAAATCTTTATAACCCTAAGAACAAACAGTATTTCTCAGTTCTTGATGTTTTGCAAGGTTGTCTTTTACTTCAGTAATTACTCCTCATATTACTGTGCATTTGCTATAATCCACCATTTTGTATCACGCTTTCCTTGTCCTTCTCACTACTTCAGTGAGTCTGTCTATCCTAATATAAATTTCAACATTTTGTTCCCAAGTAGGCGTGAGGTAAAATGTCATATTTCAGATAATGTCTTGATGAACTGTTGACTTCCCTCATTACACACATACCAACCCCTGTGCTGAATTTCTTAGACTTTCTGTAAGGCCCAAATCAGATTTAAATGAAAGTGTTAAAATTCTGCTGAGATCACGATTAGGAAATATGTGTGGGTGCACAGAAAACTGCATGATGGATTTTACAGAAAAATTAATATATCCAGCAAGTAGCAAGGGCGACAATTCAAGTGCTCAGAATCTTTTAAAAAATTTTCAATTTAAACTTCTGTACTTCATGAATCCATGCTTTGTCTATTACTATCCACTGAATGTATTCAGTTGTACTATATACATCCCTGAAATAATCCATTCATCTTTGGGGGGAATACATATTCATTACTCAAGAACATCAGAGATGGTACTTTACTATTTAATATTTAAGAAAACAGCAAAAAAAATCTATTTATCAAGTTGCCTGAGAAATGTGAGGAAGACTGCCAGAAAGAACAAGATGGTGGCAGGGATGGGCTACCGACACCATTTTGAATTAGGCCAAGCTCAGCAGATATTCAACCAGGTTCAGAATAAAGGGAGATACTTTTAACAAGAAACATTATCATTTTGAGCACTTTTCTTCACATTTTTGCACCATCCCTAATAGTGAGCTATAGTCATGCGGTTTATTTGCTAGCTTTAATAGCATAATTGCTGTTAATTTGACGTAACCTGCAATTTAAAATTTAAAAATGTGGTATTCATTGATGAAACAGAAATCTGGTTTCCCACTGTTTCCAAATATATTAGTGTAATTTAGAATAAGGTGGTTTTCCTCCTACATCCCCTTTTAGTGTAAAGTTCTTCATCATTTTTTTCATTTGTGAATACACTCAATTATTTAAAAATTTTCATCAGTATATTTTTTGGTTTATTCCTCTTTTTTGTACTTTTCGCTAAATATTTATTTAAATATGCCTTTGATCCTCTGTAACTTTTAAGTTTTCTTTTTTTTCTTTTGAAGTACATATTATTCTTTTTGTAAATAGGGTTTCATGGAAGCAGGAATTTTATGGAAGCAGGAAATAATATTTGAATTTATACTTCCAGAAGCACATCACTGGAACAATTTCAATAGTGCAATTCTGCTATTGAAGATCTCTCATTGTAAAAAAAAATGGTTACAAGAACCAGAATATTAGAGAAATGTAATTTCTAGACTAAGAAGTTATTTCTAAATTAAACACTTTATGGCTGAGGGGGAGTGATGGAAATCAAAACATTACACAATACTGCCATTTCTTGGTGTATGTAAGTAACCATTTGTTTAAGTAACCCTCAACATAATTTGTCTAGCTACCAAGTCTGGTCTCAAAATTAGCTTATTTGCCATTAATGGCGTAATATCAAACGAGCCAACTTAGTTGAAGAATACACCAATAGTATAGTCTTTCATAAAATGATGATGTACCTATTTAATAATGATGAACTTTGGAGTCTTTTTGTCCCATTGAGTTAGTATTAAACATTTTCCAAGAGGTAGGATTCTTCATATAGACTTATTCAGAATGTATTCAGACTTTCAATGTGAATTTCTAGAACTTTCCCCAACTTTGGCTCCTCAGTATAAATTCTTTTTACTCCCTATCAAAGATTGTATGCAATATTTACTATCATTGTGTACTTGTGTAAAGTACAGGTTTGTGAGTATATTTCTATTGGCTAGATTATATATCCCTCTTCATCTGAGAAATTAAATCCAATATTCCTGATTTTTCCCCCCTTCCATTTCTTTCCAAATCTCACTTGAATTTAAAACATGGCTGTCAACTTCAGAGAATTTCTGTTGCTTTCTTTTTAGCTATATTTTATAATTTTTTAAAGTATCCATCCTAATTTTGGCTTTTATGTTTCTTTACAAAATGGTTTAGATACCATCCCACTATAGCACTGAAATGTCAAGATTTCTGTTGGATCTTATAAAATATTAACAAAATGTAATATTAACAAAATGTAACATTCTTATTAAATTTGATTACTTTTGAGAAGTATCCTGTAGAAATGCTGACATATCCATTTGTAACTTTCATTTTATAGGGATTGGGAACACTTCTAGAGACTCTGTGACTCTGTGAGTTTAATGATGTATATGTGTATTGATAACCTCAGGATAAAATGATAACCGATGTAATTACTGCATCCAGTTTTGGTCACCACATTATAAAAAAGATGTTGAGACTCTAGAAAAAGTACAGAGAAGAGCAACCAGGATGATTAGGGGACTGGAGGCTAAAATATACAACAAACGGTTGC